CATTTGCCTGTAGGGCCCAATTCAGATGGTTGAGTTCAGTGCTGAGAAACTGAGCTTCACAGTTCCGATTTGCACGGTCTACCAGTGTTTTGATTATGCCTTTTTTTTTTTTGCTGTGGGGGGGGGTTGGAATTTTTGTGTAGTACCAGTCTGTGTGGGGGGGTTTTCTGTAGACCTTGTGGCCCAGTTGGAGGTCAGTTTTGCGTAGGACCATGACATCTAAGAACGGGAGTTGGCCCTCTATTTCTTTTTCCATGGTGAATTGTATATTTGGGTGGATGCTGTTGAGATGGTTGAGAAATTCTTCCAATTTTTCTTCACCGTGGCTCCAAACTGCAAAGGTATCATCCACATATTGGAACCAGACTGTGGGTGTGAGGGGTGCCGAAGCCAGGGCACGTTTTTTGAAATGCTCCATGTAGAAGTTTGCTATAACCGGGCTGAGGGGGCTCCCCATGGCTGCTCCATTTTTCTGTTCATAGAATTCATTATCCCACTGGAAATAGCTGGTTGTTAGGCAATGTTGGAACATGGCCAAAGAGCCCGAAAAACCCACAAAAACCATTAGATCCCGGCCATGAATGCCTTCACGAATACATAATGCTGATACTTTGAAGAATAATGGTTTCATACATACTTGAATGATATGAGTGAGGTGGTAAACTGAGGGGACAAACATAATTGTGGTCCTTTTCCTTTTTAGAATAGCCATGAAATACTGGCCATATATTTCACAATATTTCTACAAAATATGCATGGAGATCCATTGGTTTTTTTCCCAAAGGAATGGAATGTGAACAGTTGTAACACAATGCTTAAATTAATGACAACCAGCTGAAGTAGTTTGCAGGGCATCTTTCTTCCAGACTGTCGCAACAGGAGCACATACAGTAATAATGCAAAAGCTGTGTGTGTTGAGTGGGGTGCAAGGAAATCTCTATATAACTGCTGCGTTGTTTGTTAAACTATCTTTGGGTAATATGGTGGCCAGATTACATTTTCCTCCTATTTGTAAAAGAAAGGTTACTTTGATTCAGTGGTTCTTCTTTTGCAGCTCCTAACTGCCCTTAGCATATCTAAGCAAGTCATGCAAGCCATCAAAATATGTCTCTCCAAGTAATACACAGTCATTCCATGAAAAAGATTTTCAATGCATTTTCAAGTATTCATCCTTTTTTGTTATAAAAAATACATCTGGAAACAGATCCCTGCATTCTACTTCAGTCTGAATCTTGGTTTAAGTTAAAAGCAGAGTAGCTTAGTAGGAACTGAAACAATTAACTGACATCAAGAAAATTTTCAATTTCTGGTTTCAGCAGTTCTTCTCATTGGGTTATTTTCTGTCATATGAGAAAAATGTCCACTCTACTGACTCAAAGAAGACCTTCATGGTAAAAGTCGAATTCATTCTATGTAAGCTTTGTTGTGCAATCCCATTAAGGCCATTTGGATCTAATTATTTGCTCCCTCCTGCTGCAATTTATTGATTTGTTTCTTTATAGGAGTTCAAAGCCTCTGACTAGAGGTTCAAGCTGGATACTGTGTGAATTAATGCACAGTGAGAAAAAAATAACTTCATAACTAGGGCCACAGTAGTTTGAGCTGATTTTATATTTTACTTTGAAGACTATCATGTGGAGCATTTTTAGTTATGGGAAATGAGACCTGAAAGACATTAATAAGTCAGCTTTTTTCACGGGTTCCTTGGCAGTACTTATTGCAATCGAAACAGAACCATCTTTTTTTTGGGGGGGGGGGAGCCCATGCTGGAACAGAGTGCAAGTCATTAACATTACAACATCACAACTCCTTTTCAGTCCTCCACATGGCTAATGTGTACATTCTCGTATACTCTGCCCCCCCCCCGGTCAGTTCCTCCTCACTCCTGAAGCCCCGAGATTCTCCCAAGCTGATATGTTACAGTTTAAAATCCTCATGCATTTCACAAAACTGGAAGCAGATTTCCAACCAGTTCCGTTTTTGTTTTGTTGGGGAAAGTAACTTTGAATTAGCATGGCTGTACCGCTATCAATGTGGACTACCTTACTGACTACCAGCATTGATGCTCCCCCTCCCCTCAATCACTGTCATACCAACAAGCAAGGCTACTCTGAGACTTTTCTCTTCTCAGAGGCACTAAAGTATAGTGGCCCAAGCAATGTTTTTTAAAACATCACGATGACCAGATGAAATCTGCAGGAAAGGAACCCGAGCATCAGGAGGAACAAGACTTGGATAACCAAAGCAGGAAACCTTCACTGTTGAGAATGTTACTATTATTTATTAAAGGCTCTTCTATCTCCAGTAGAGTCTTCAATGTCAGAGGAATCTGGCTATTTGCAGCATTTTCCCTTAAGAGAGAAAACATACTTGGGCATTAGGGATAAATCCACAGGCAACAATGTTAGAAGAATTATCATGTATTAGCTGGACTCCTGGAGAGACCAGAGTTGAGTGTTTTAAACATGTTTTTGCCTTTGAATTCAACAACAGGAGTCTTATGCTCACAAGCTGACAGAAGGAGTAACCCATGCCCTCTTTGCTCCCAGGGAGGGCCTCACTCTAGCAGCTGATTCACAATACAGGTCAGATAGCCTTATTTAACTTTGCAAGAAAAAGTTTTCAAGAAAAAGGAGCCGGGTCAAAATAAAGTTGTTCTGTGGAGTCCCACCTGGATAGCTGTGAGAGGTTTAAAAACAAAGAACATTGGTGAGAAGTGGTCAGCAAGGTGTGACTGCACCAGCATAGTTGTCAAAGTAGAAGGCACTGAATTCCAATGCAAAGTAACTAGTCTGGGATCACAAAATAGTTGCTGCTTCATATGTGGGATAGCTCATGCTGGACAGGAAAATGGCTACTGGGTCCTTTGTGTCCCACTCCCTTTCTCCAAAGCTTCACATTGATCCTCATCTTCCCTTAAGCTCTCCAACATTAAATCCAAGGAGTCCAGCTAATTAGCAAAATCTGAGTGGTAACCACTAGGGCAAGAGTGGCAAATCCTTGGCATGCCAGATGTTTTTGACTACAGCTCTCATAACCCCTAGCCTGTATTGTGAAAAGTAATGGACAGTAGGAGTATTGTCTAAAACATCTGGATTCCAAAAGTTCACTGCCTCTCCACGTTGCTAGAGATTACCCTTTTTCCAGCTTTCCAGCACAAAGTCAGGAAAGGTCTGGTAAGCAGCAACACTGAACTGAGTGTATCTTAGATTCTCATCCTCTTATCTCCAACAAGAGAAAGGATTTTGCTGTGTTTCAGACATGCTCCGAGGAGGCAATGTTGTTTGGTGTGCAGCTTTCTAAATAATTTGCAAATTCTTCTCTCTCCTTTTTTTTGCAGAAGGCAAATGCACCATTAGACCAGGGGTAAAAAGGACCAATCATGGCAGAAAGGAAACAGCTCTCTTTAACTGCTGAGAAGAACAAAAGTAAGCAATGGACAAGAGGAAAGAAGAAAGGGTAAGAGTTGGCAAATCTTGGAAAAGTATGAAACTAAGAAGAGTGAAAATGTTGGAAAAATGGAAGTGGAAGCTGAGACTTTTGCAGAAGTTACACCAGTGCTGCAAGAAAGAAAAGTCTCTTTCCAAGGAAGAAAAGAACCAGGGTAGAACTAGGAGAACATCCTTTCAGATACACAGATCATATGATCATGCTTTTCCTGGGCAGTGACAGGACACAACCTTCTCTTCTAGTTCACTCTGCAGCAGCACCCAGATAACTACAAGATGTGAATTAGTACAACACAATAAACAAACAATGACGTTCTTGACATAGAATTAGAACACAGTACACAAACAGTTACCAAGAACACACTGCCCCGAGTATTAAGAGCTCCTAATATTTCTGGCTCAAACCTACTTTTCCAAGAAAGAGCATGAAGTCTCCCACTGTGTTTATGGCAGCCACCCGTAAAGCGTTCTCCACAAGTATCACAAAGGCATCCTTTGCTGAGGTGCAGAAGTTGGTGCTGTTGATAGCAGTGGCTGTATATGCATTCTGGGTAAAGAAAAACACCATTTCATTGGTCAGATTCTCTCTCAACTGAACTCCAAAATCAGTCATACTTTGAGTTGGTTCATTACAATTAATGACACAAATAACTTACATAGATTCCACTGATTTCAACAGGTGTCATTCAAACCCAACAAAGTCTGGATCCAAGCTGTTATAGATAAAACAGCGGTGCAGTGGCAATCTCACACTTTGCCATCCAGCTAATAAGACACAATGCGTCAAGTTCTCTTATTGCCCTATCAAATCGCTATCACTATCTTTCCATACTGGCCCTCTAAAAGCAGATATGAACATCACCAGAAAATCAGTATTAATGGAAATTATTTCTAGTTGCACAAGCACACTAGGTTAATTCTTGTATTGCTAAACAGAATGCAATAACTGTGTAATAATTCAGTGAGAACAGACCCAAGAGATCAACTATAAGAATATGTCCCTTGTAAACAAAAATGCAATATTGTGTAAGACTGAACTATATATTTGAATTGAAAGTGTAGGTAGTGGTATTGTTTTTAAGATACTATAACCTCAGATTCCTGCAGTGCCCAGGATAGCTTACTAGATTTGTATTCATGCTGTTTTATTTTGGTCCACCCAAATCTGAGTGGAAGGTATTTGGACATGATACAGATAGGTTCCAGAATATACATACTTTAAAAACAGAACACACGGGGTCATTTAAAAAGTCCCACTCTTGTAAGTCACAAGTGCAGTTAGTACACAAGAGGAACATGATATAACACCAGCATACTATTCAAAGGAAATCTGTACAGTATTAAATAAGGGTGATTACAGTTGGCCTGCTGCAACTCCGTGTAGATGCCTCTCAAGAATCTGAGAGACAGGCAATTACAGATGCTTATTTTTAAAACTACAAGATGCTGAGATAAGAAAAAAACTAGTGAAGACTTCAGTCTTATTGCAACAAGCATGCACTGTGGTCTGCCCACACACTGCAGTCAATCACTCCACACAGTTGCTTCAGTATTGAAATGACTGCATTACCATGGCTTCTTATCCAAAATGTTTGATTACTTCTTATTTACAGCCAAGGATTTTCTGCAAGGTAACAATTCACCTTAATTTCAACAAAGGCTCTATGCAACAGCACAGAAGAACATTCAAATGTTAAGACATAAATTAGCAACCTGAGGGGAAATATTTCTTCCTGTGGTTTATATCTGATTGCAAGAAAGGTATAGGTTAAATTTTCCAACCTGCAATAAATAAATAAATAAATAAATAAATAAATAAATAAATAAATAAATAAAGAAAGAAAGAAAGAAAGAAAGAAAGAAAGAAAGAAAGAAAGAAAGAAAGAAAGAAAGAAAGAAAGAAAGAAAGAAAGAAAGAAAGAAAGAAAGAAAGAAAGAAAGAAAGAAAGAAAGCCAGAGGACATACAATCTTACCTGATTTAAGTAAGTCAGGCACTTTTCCAGACACCAAAGGCAGCAAATGCAAGCTTTCAAAATACATCGAGCACAGGCATTTTCCTAAGAGGCAGAGGGTATAACCAACAGAAAGTTTTATTGAGTTAAAAGGAAGCATTGCATTCCCTTAATGTGGCACTCTTTAACGATCAAGAAATTAATCTTCTCTGACACAGCTGCTTCCTTGGATGAGTAGTTCAGAACCCAGTTTTAATTTGATGGTTCCTATAGCTACATAACTACCTAGAACCACATCACACACATAAACCAGATGGTTTTGTCTTAATGAAATCCTTCCTGTGTATGAAATCATGCGGAGAATCAGGCTGTACAAGGAGACAACAAGCAGTTTCATGATCACGGTCTAAGAAAACAGCAGTTTGCCGCCCCCCCCCCCAAACTGGGCAATGACATTCAGTCAAAATGAAAGCTAGAGCTAAATAGCTCAGTGGTTTAGCTATCTAGCTGCAGAGCCAGAAACTGGAAGTTCAGTTCCCCACTGAGCCTCTTCAACAGGGGCTGGATTAGATAATCCATCTTCTGCAATTCTATGATGATGGTATCTACTGTCATTTTTAAGTGCCATCAAATCACATCAAGGTTTGTGAGATATTTAAGAGGTTTTACCACTGCCAATTCCCAATGGGCTTCCGTGGCTCAGCAGAGACTTGAATCTAAATCCCCTGATTCCTATTTCAATATTCTATCCACTATGCCACACTGGTTCTCAGCACTTAATCTTTCTTAGTCATAAAGGGAAAACAGTATTGTTTCCTTTTAACTGGGCCTTTTCTACTTCCTCTGTATTCTGGATGCAGTGGTCTTATCTTAAAACAAATGACTGGAGAATAAGTTTATCAGGAGCTATGAACCATGATGCAGCGTTTCATGCTATATCCAGGATCAAGAGCCATAAGCCTCTGAATATTAGTTGCTTGGGGAAAGTGCAGAGGTCACATGTTCTACTTGTGGCCTTCTTTAATGAACACGTTTGACAACTAGGATGCTAGAATATGCAAGTCTTTGTTTTACTCTATTAAAACTGTACTGAATACTTTCTTATGTCAATTTCACTGAAGACATTCAGGAACATAGCCGTTTCCCCTTACTTTTCCTTTGACTTGAGTGTGAATATACATAAGTATCATCCGTGGAATCTTCACTAAGGTAATAATGAATGAACCTTTAGCCACAGTTCCTAGGTGGTAACAGATCAAACGATTGACAGACGCCAATATAGGTGTGAATGGCAGGTTTCTTTTTTCTCTGCGTGCAAAAAACAAACACACAGTGAGAAAGCATAGTAACAGCAGGCAATAATAACTAGCTGCCATACAATCAGAGACCATCTGATCAAATTGTAAATACCTCTAAATGTAGATTTTTTTCTTCTGTAAATTCTGTATCCATTGTACTTTATGATACTAGTTCTGTACACAATCTTAAGAGTTAACTGAAGCTCCTAATCTGAAAAGCCTCAGCACTAAGAGAATAAAAGTATTTATGATTAAAGAGGAGAAACAGCCTAGTAATATATCTAATCTATTTGAGAACTGATCTTCTATATCTCCTTGCACAGTCTGTATACATCACATAATGGTACTGCCTCTCACTTTAAAATGGCTCCAAGTCCCTAACTCATTATAGAATAAGATTTTCATTTCACAAAACTAAGCCAATCTTTTGCATGTGTTTTGGCATTCAAAATGAAGGCCCCAATCCACATCTGTACAGACATCTCTAAAAAGATAAACCAATTAAATATTCCATTAAAATTTTAAACCAAGCAGGCACCTAAGATTTCTGATCTATCTTTAAATCCCACAGGCTGATTAAAGCATTAAATATCTTAATCTCCTCACTTGTGTTCCACCTGTGCAATTAGTATGCCACCTCTGAAGTTTTCCTGGAGACAATTTATACCACAGTTTCATGTTCACTTGAATCAGAACACTGTGCTTTAATCCCCACTTACTGACTAGTATTTGAAACCAGGACTTCAGATCATTGTCATGTAAACTGAGACTAAACCACAGTTTCCCAGTCTGGATGTCTCAAGAACTACTGATTTAAACCAACAATGATGCAGGAACCATGCTAAAGGAGGTGGGAGGCATGAGGTATATCTGTGTCTACTGTGTTTTTGGTCTGATAAATCATAATTTATTAAGTTGTGATTGCTGTGTCTGAAGCAGCTTTGCAGGGTTTTTTTAGAAGACAGTGATTGCTGCAGTACAGTGTAAATACTGATTTAATCTTTACCAAATTTTAACATATTTATATTGTTAAAAGATCTTAAGAGATTATTTGATATAGACTTCTGTATATTCTCAATGATTTCCACACATTACTGTATTCTGAAGCTTGGCTGACACTTCTGGTCTATCAGTCAAAAGTACTGTGACAGATGGTGCTCAAAATGAAATTGTGTTTTTGTTTCCTGCCATAAAGAGGGCTAATAAAGATGTTTCAAGTTATTTTAACTGCATTTTTTAACTGCAGGATTTCAGTCCATTTGGGGAACACATGACTGATACAAGCTGTGTCAAATGATCACATCAAAAGATCAGTGGAAACATATTACTGAGCTTTAAAACATTGTTTAAATGAAACACGAGCTTTTTAATTCAGTTTACACCACTACAGGATTCACTCTGCTGATAGAATTTTTACCAGATGCTATGGGGTTTCATTTTGGTAGTTGTGCTTTGGCTTTTGTGCTAACAACTGAGTTTAGGCAAAACTGTCATTTTTCACTAATGCAATAAAAAATCCAGAATAAAATCTGTACCACTAGTATATACAATTAAAACCATGGCAAGACATTAGTTTTCTCTTGCGGATGAAACCCTCATCATTTTATACTTTTGCTCCTTGTCCATTTTCTCCTTTCAGAAAGAGCTGCCCTCTTATTACTTTATGCATATATTCTAAATAAGCCCCCAAGGTGTCTACAGGAAAGGGCAGCATAGAATATACACAAATTGTTTTATCGCCATAAAGGCCTGTAAACAAATATGCATGTCAAGAGAGAAAACTAAGAAATATGACAGAAGCTATGCTATGCTAATGAATGTATCACAGTTGTCTCAGGGGTTTAGGATGCTACTTTCATCAACTTCCTTCACTTGGGAGTAAACCACTTGCACGAGCAGTGGAATATATGATGTTGGAGCTTCAGAGAGTGCAGAAGATGCCATTGCTGACCCACACTGCTCTTCAAAGTGTCTGAAAACAGCACTGAATGGCTTCTCTTGTGACATCTGGTTATTTCTAAATGTATGGAGTGACTAGAAGGAGAGTAAAATGCCTCTTTGTGTGTGTATCTTGGTGGTAGTGGGCAATCGTTCCTTCATTTTAGTGTAGTTTTAGTATTTTAATAGTTTTAAATGGAATACTGGATTGGTCGGATATAAAAAAATGAAATAATGAATACTAAACAACACTCAGAAATGTTATCTGCATTTTTATCTTGTTTTTATTTACTCTTAAATAATTTGTTGAATCAAGCTGTGTTGCATACAGAAGTAACTTACTGTATTTTTTGCTCCATAAGACGCACTTTTTCTCCCCCAAATAGTGGGGGAGAAAGTATGTGCGTCTTATAGAGCAAATACAGTAAAAAAGGGTTCAGCCACCACCACCCAGAAGCCTCCCACTGCCATGCTGGGAGGCCTCTGAACTGGCACCAGAGGCTGCTTGCTGTGGCAGCCACGTTGGACCTCACCATTCTGCCATCTGCGCTGCTGGCTTTCCAGGATCTGCTTCCTGGAGCCCAGCTGGAAAACCAGCAGGGCCAACAGGCCTATAGCAGCAAATTTAAATGGTAGAATGCAATGAAAATAGCCAAGGAACAAAGGGAAAATTGTGATTCTAAAAAGATCAGGGGAAACATAAACACAATCCCCCATTACCACAAACTAGGCAGTTAATTTTCCCACATTTGGGGAAATCACAGGCATCAGCATATCCAAAGTGCAATAGATGAGCCTTACCCTGGGGAAACCACTTTTATGATCCTGGTATCTCCCTTGCCAGGTATGAGTTGGAATGCCCCCCCCCAAGGCATGGTGACCCCCTGGCTGCACCTCCTGATCAGAACAGGGCTGCACAACCCCAATCCCACCAGAGGCCAAGAGAGCTCCTCAGTGTTTTGGGGTGCCCCACAGGACGCCATCAGGGGCTGGGTGTTCCTCCCACAATCCTCCAGTGCACAGATATTTGCATACTTAATATGTGGGAACGGCAGGGAAAGCAGGAAATCCAAACTTTCAGTTAGTGAAGAGGCTGCTTGTCTGCTTCCTTGCTAGTCCAAGCAGTTAGAGAGCTGGGAGAGACACCTGGGACTGCCTGGTATTGTCATTTTAAAATGTAAAAATTAGTTTAAAAGCTGTTTGTTTGGGGTTAGTGCTTGGGTGAAAAGGTGCTCCGTTCGAGTTGAAACGTGCTTGTGTAGAAACATGCATACTTGCTTTAAAATGTGCTAGTTTTGCTTTAAAAGCTGCTTGTTTGGGGTTAAACCCTGTTTGGGTGAAAAGGTGCTCCGTTTGAGTTGAAACCTGCTTGTGTAGAAACGTGCGTACTTGTTTTAAAATGTGCTAATTTCGCTTTAAAAGCTGCTTGTTTGGGGTTAAACCGTGCTTGGGTGAAAAGGTGCTCTGTTTGAGTTGAAACCTGCTTGTGTAGAAACACGCATACTTGCTTTAAAAGCTGCCTGGGAAGCCTTTTAGACCAACGCCAATCAGCCATTAGGTGGGGAGAGGGCAGGAGTGGAGAAGAGCACAAAATGGCTGCCGTCTGCCGGCCGGCTTTTAGCTGTTTGGTGCTCTTTTCCGGCTGTTTGGGGGGCTACCAAGGCACAGTGAAGAGCCAGGCTCAGTCTACAGTAGCTGGTAAGTGACTTTCTTTTACATTTTTTTAAGTTTCTGACCTCCCTCCCCCATAAAACTGCATTAACTAATTTTCAATGCATTTCTATGGGAAATTTGGATTTGACTTGCAAACTTTTCAACTAGTTCTGGGCATAGAGAATGTATTTCCAAAGGGTGTTGAAGCAAGGAAACTAACTGTGTTAACAGCTGTTAAATAGTTTAATTCCACTATTTATCCTCCACACAACTAAAAGGGACCTCTCAATGCAGTACCAAATCAGACAAACCATTTCTAACTTAATATAGGCTTGAGCTGTAGCTGGGCAGAGTTGCACAACAATCTCATCTGTCATTGAGACGTTTCTATAAGCATGGGGAGGAGGAGGATGAAAGGAAATGTAAAATATAGGTAGAGTGGTATAGGTCTTATCACTGGCTGATAATGGTCTGTATGTACTTCACTAAAATTTATGGTACACAAATTTATGGTACATAAACTAGAGTACACAAAGCTTTAAGTCTCTCAATTTGTTAATGACAGTGTAATGGTTCTTAATGCCACTGTTGACTGCTGTTCACTTTACATGGTTCAAATGTTACTCTGTTATAGTTTATTAAATATTTTAGTACACTATTTGGTTCAGAATATATTTTCCCTGTTTTCCTCCTCTAAAAATTAGGTGCGTCTTAAGGTCAGGTGCGTCTTATGGAGCAAAAAATACAGTACTCTTTCATCCCTAGGAAGTACTGTATCTTATTGTTTCTCCAGTACATGGCACAGAAAATCCTGGTAGCTTTGATCCTATAAGCTAAGTTCACAACACAGTTGTATATGAATTTTTAAAAAACAGAGAAAGAGACAGAGCATCTGGTTTAGAATTATATGCTAATATAAAATTATATTTTCTTTGTTGAACTCTATGTCAAAGCTCATTCTCACATTCTACAATTAAATTCACCAAGGCAAATGTTATTCTACCCAAACTATCTCCATTGCTGTAAGGACACATAAAGTGTATCAGTTAAAACTAATAAAAGACATTTTGAGCTACAAAGGTCATAAGCCACTAATGAGAATAGTGGATGACTTCCGGACCACAAACCTAACCATTTAGAGGAAGTTGTTTCCAGAACAAACTGAACAACCATCAAGTGGGTCGACAAACAGCCAAAAAACACTGTCTTTTCTAGCTTGAGTCAGTTTTTGTTTGTTTGCCTTCATCCAGTGTATTAGTGGTGGTCTTGCCTTTCAGTTCCTTCTTTTCATTTTTTCCCTTCATCTGCCCAAACCCAAAACATTTGAAATTTTTAAGACTTATCAGCTGCCTCAGAATATCTCACCTGGTAAAATAATATGTCACCACAGCTCCTGCTACAGTCATCTGTTGACAAGCAAGGATAAATTCACTGATCCAAACTAACCCCACAACATGATACCACCACATGTACCTCAACGGACCTGCTACTCGGAACTCTACAAAGCCCTGTTCATTTTGGACAGGGCTGCCTAGAAAGAGAAACAAGAGGGGAGAAGACAGACATTTAAAAGATTCATTTACTCAGAATGCAGCCCTTTAAAACTTAAACAACACAATTATGTACAAAGAGCAATGAATTACTTTATGTGGCAACTATCTTTTCTACAGGCTTTTCATTAGGAAGTAAAATAATATCAACATTTATTTCTTGCCTTTTTGTCTTCAAAACAGGATCCCATGGTAAGTGAAAAGAAAGTCACAACTGGGGTTGCTCAAGAGACATTCCACAACTGGGTATTATAATAAAGTAATCCCTCTCCCCACCCACAATATCTTAAGTGGTGGGGGATTCAGAAGTGGCTTTTGATATTGATTTACAGTACATAGATACATATATCTATCTATGTCAGTGGTTCTCAAACATGGGTCTCCAGATATTCCTGGACTGCAACTCCCAGAAATCCTGGCCAACACAGCAAATGGTGAAGGCTTCTGGGAATTGCAGCCCAACAACATCTGGGACCCCAAGTTTGAGAACCACTGATCTATGTAAATTGTCCTACAGGTATCCTGGTACCAAACAGTTTATAGCTTCAAAAGTTAAAACTGGCACTATGAACCGGACCTGGAGACAAATAGATAACTGATAAGCATCTTTAAATGTTATGAAATGCATTCATCATGAGAGATCCTGATTATAATAATCTAGCATTAGCTGAAGTTTTCATACATTTTCTTGCATATAATGGATATTATGTATTTGTTTTATACACCATTTTTCTCCTGATATGGGGACCCTTAGAAATCCATGCACATTTGCTTTGGAACCACAATTCAGTTATACAAAAATATCAGTCATACACTGATGCTCTTTATTTTCAGTACAGTATTTTAAACCAGGCCCATTTAAATTTTCTAAAGTTAATTTCATTCAGTAAGAAAAGAAAGCATTCCTTGTGATCAACAGTCAGAAACAATGCCTTTCTTTCTTAGACTACCAATAAATTATGGAACTCTGTACTCCATACCTGTGGTACCTAGGAAGAGCAAGACTGCGATCCAATAAATCCAGAAGAGCATGAGGGCAAAAAAGGTCCAAAATGGCTGGAAGACGAGCAGTGGCAGGTGAATGAAGACCTTTCCAGCCACATGGAACAAGGCAATGGTGAGAGCTACTCGTTTGCGCATAACTAACATTATCAACAATAAGATAACCTGAGGGGAAAAAAGAATCTACATTACCTTTCAGATTTATTTTATGCACTGAGGCATACTTTAAAAAGGTACCTTCCTACCTTAGATATGCAGTATACCTGATCTTAAGATTTCAGGACAATAGGTATGAAATCATTCTCACTCTGACAGTCACCTACTAACAAAGTAGAGACTCAGAACATTTTGACATCTGACAAACCTGGGTCTGGAACACAGCATATACCTGAAATATACCTGCAGCTTATTCTGGCTCTGACTACTATCACCTGCACACGACTATAACATCTACAATAGGTTGGATCTAGACTAAATATGACCAAACCTGGGCCCAATCTACTATAAACAGGTCTTCACACTGATCAGTATTTGAATAAAACCTCTCTTTTTAGAGTATGAAATCATGCATATGACTTGATCTGGTGTGATTAATTACAATTATTCCGAAACAGATGCCAATATATGTACTGGTACTCCTAACAAGCAAAAGCACTACAAGGAGGATATTTTGTTGAGTGGTTACAACAGTGATTGCTACTCTAAGGGAGGTTGCTACCACCCCTGGGAGTCTTGGGACAGTGGGTGAGTCTTTAATACAGTAGTCACAAAATTAGTGTTAGATTGTTCCCAACAGTCCTAATCCCAGTGATAGTGATCCAGTGGGATGTTTTGCTATTAAAGGTTTCCTGCCCCATCCCAAGACTCCCAAAGATTTCCCCAGGGCAAAAGGGAGCCCTAGGTAGCATCAGAAACAAGGGAATGTTGGGTTCATTTAAATTAATTATTTCTGGTGCATAGATCTGTTTTACACCAATGTAACTATGGCAACAGAATTTTACCCATACTTTGGCATAGGTATTTCATAAATGTGGGCAATATAGATCTAACGAGGGAGTTGAATTCAGCCATATGGTTAATCCTACCTGATAGGGCCATTGTGAACACTCACAAACATAGCATATACATACATCCAACCCACCTGGCCCCCACCTCAAATAAAGCCGTTAGGAAGCAGCAACATAGTGAAGAATGCAAGTTAATTATCTGTACCATCCATTCAAATGGCAAAGACACTGGACTCCCAACTGCTACACTTCTGATTCATTTCAGATCAAATGATAAAATTGCTTTCAATGTATAGATAGGCACTACAGAAAATCAGCTTTCTGTGTAAACAAGAGGCAGTGCAGAGAAGTAAAACTGCATTTAAGTGAAATTTAAGCTTTTATAATGTAGTTTCAAAATATAATGTAGCATTTTACAAACAGTCCTCATGCACACATACTTCATTCCTGTGCCTGGCTACACAAAACAGCTCTAGCACTATTGACATGGTCTGCCTATACACCAGCACATACATGAAATAATAATACTGGTATTAGAATGTGAGAGTTGCTTTTAATCATATTTTCTTGATGGCTGAAGGAAACCTCCAGGAGCAGCATTTTGCTCTAAAATATGGTGCAGGCCACTCCATTTCTTTCCATTGCCTTCAAGATTGAAAAACAAAAACAAAAGACGAAATAAAATTCCAGAAAGCTAAAGTGACAATGTCCCCCCCTACTCAACATTTTTAGGGGTCAGTGTGGCCCACGGTAGGTTATGGGAGATGGAAACTGGCACTTGGACCTTCCAAAGTTGTCCACTCTTGCATTAATGTGAACAGGGGAAAAGGGTAGGACAGGAGAAGATGTACAAGCCAGTCTTGCCATACAAAGAACCTTGCATATTAACATATAAGAGACATTTTCATATATGGACAAAAACAACTGCCTACATCCACAGTTATGAAAAAACAAACAAAGCCATGACATCCTTATACAATAAACTGATTATTGGTGGCCATTTATTTGAAGGGTTGGGAGAGAAAACCCAACCAGAGTTGAAGTTTTAAACCTACATTTCTGTTTGCAGTGTGTATTTTTGGAACTCATCTTTAAGAAACAGACTTGGCATCAACATCCATAACTTTTAGGATTCTCATGTATTTTTTTCCTGCACTATCCACAATGTATCGGTGCACAGCCTGATGAAGACTAGTATAGGTTGAAAGCTAGTTATTATTATTTATTTTAAATTAGTGGTCAAATAAAGGTATCACCTGCCCTTGCTTTTGTTTACACCCAAATATGACATCATATATACTGACTGCGTAAGGGTCCACTGTAGGGTTTGTCTGTGTCGTAGAAAGGCATAATTCATATCTGTATGATTCATAGCATGGTATGATTCATAGCATGTGCATGTAATAAAATTAATACATGAAGTTGTATATTTTATTTTCCATTTTCTCTGATGTCCATGTAAGAAGGATCCTTAGTTCAATATGCATTCAATACTTACTGTGAAGACTGTAGCTGCAATGGCATATATCAGGAGGGCCTGACGATTGTCTTTGGCTATTTGAAGCTGTTCAACAGTAAGAGTGTCACTGGGAGATTTCCGCTGCTTAGCATACAGCCACCACAAGACTCCTGTGCCACCTATGCATGTGCAGAAATAGATATAGGGTACCTTCCAGTTTCAAAACATTTGCGTTATGGTGCTGAGGAAGTACAAGTAGCTTGACCAATTTTATTTTGTACTAGGCTATTTTCAGCTGCAACATAAAAAGTGAGGATGGAATGATATTCTGACTGCTAGCAGACAACGGACTGAAAGGAGTTTGTCCCTAAAAGACACCTTGAAAATATATTTCTGTTTCACAATTCAAAAGAATTAAGGAAATATAGGAAAGAGGAGGTTATATAAGGAGTTATGAACAGAAGCAAAACAAGCAAGAGTCTGGGGTGTGTTGATTGGCAGCATTACTAGAATCTCCCTGTTTTTTCTTTCCTATATGTAACTCACCATTGCATGAAATTAACAAATGAAGGTCTTATGGTTGTTGTGGGTTTTTTCGGGCTCTTTGGCTGTGTTCTGACGGTTGTTCTTCCTAACGTTTCGCCAGTCTCTGTGGTCGGCATCTTCAGAGGACAGGAGTCAGAACTCTGTGCTCTGGCCTTCGAGTGAAGGTCTGTTCATTTGCTAATTTGCTGAGTGAGAAAGAACAAGCTGTGCAGATGTGACTAATGGAGCACAAGTTTGTCCTCATCCCTATAGATGTTTGCCATCAGTGAATTTTTTACATTTTTTTCCAGTGCACGTTGCTGCTTTGTTTTGTTTTTGTTGAAGCAAAAACTCAACAAGCATCTATTTTAAGCAGGAGAAAGACATCTTTAATACTTGATACTATTTTAATTTTTTGCAGAAATCCATTGAACACATTCTGTATATTGAAAAATGAAACTCAGAATTTATATCAATCAGTACTCTGTCCTATACTCAGATTAGCATGCCCTGAGATCCTGCAGTGTGAGGACTTGCCTTCCATTCTCTCCTACCAGAGGTTAGATGAAGGTGGCTGACTGTAGCTATTTAGAGCTGCAAACTGTTTGGGAATCAAGAACTCTTTAAATTCAGCTCTGTGAGAAATACTCTCTATTTCTTACAAAAACTTTTTTAACAAAAGACTCACATAAAAATCACTGTTGGAGGAAGGCTTCACTAAGCTTGACTCCTAGAGTGTACATCAATGTTTTAGAATAAAGTAAATCAACACAACTTTTGAAGCGTTAATGCTTTTAATATTACATCTATCGAGTCTTATCTGCTATTTTCACAATTGTGTATTTCATGAAGTGTTCTTTGAATTCATCAATGTAAAATTATTCTGCTCTGTAAACAATGCCATTTCTTTTGACACTCTCTGTTTATTTTGCTTTCTGATAATTGGCTGTATACTCATCACCATAATTAATTCTTAAGCACTGACAATGATCAAACTGGTATTTTTCCCAAGGGCATAGATTCAATCGTTCACAGTATGACGACAGTTGCAAGTCAATTGTTCCCAAAGCAAAAGTTGAACATTTCTTAAAGATGCATGAATGAGTAAGGGAAGTCTTTGTACTGACTGGAAGCAACTATTTCAGCCCACTTACGAGTGGTACTAAATAACAGAGTCTTGAAAGGCATACTCAACTCACTCCATGTGCTGAAGTGATATCCAGTGAGGAATTAGTAGCGTTTTCATTACATCTGTTTATTTTGTAAATATATACCGTGTTTCCCCAAAAATAAGATAGGACCTTTATGAATTTTTGCTCCAAAAATGCATTATGGCTTATTTTCAGGAGATTTTTTTTTCATGTACAATAATCTACATTTATTCAAATATAGTCATGTCCTGTTCTTCTGGTTGCTGCACAATGGTGGAGGGCGAGGTTTTACTTAACTGGGGTGTATTTTTGGGCAGGGCTTATATTACGAACATCCTGAAAAAGCATACTAGGGCTTATTTTGAGGTTAGCTCTTATTTTCGGGGAAACAGTGTATATATATCTCCCTTCTTTTAAATATTCCTTTAAATTAAGCATCAGGTCTATTGGTTCCTGCTCATTCTCATTTTCCTTAATCTTTGTTCAGCAAGATAGTTCATCTTAGTTATGCATACAGCAATAATTCCAACAGATACCCTCCCAGTACAGGGAAACTGTGTTACACCACAAACCAGCCATGAAATCAAAAGCACACTACATAATCATATTTGTTCTCTTTCCAACATGTTATTTCAGGAGCATAAATCCTATTCCTCTCTACTAACTACAGTTGAGCACCACAGTGCCTACAAGTTAGTCTTCATGTGCTACAATTGAAAGACTTGGATTAAATGCGTTCCAGGGCATTTTCTGTACCCCAACTGGAATTCATATGTTTTGAGTATTAGCAGTAGGATGAGTAATGTGGTTAAATTTAGGGATATGTTTTTAAATATTTTTGTTGTATTTCCCAATGGGAATTCCAATGTCTCTTCAGAATGGATCCAAACTAATGAAGAGCAAAGTGTATCACTTCTGTCTCTCAACATCATGCTTCACCAATGTGTTATACTGGCAGGGTAAAAAAAGAAGAGAAACCATTTTTGAAAAAGTACAAATTCGTTCAACCATTTTTTATTCAGGTAGATAAAATCTGGGGATCTTACCCACAACAAAATTTAATACTGGTGGATGAAATGTGCCTGCTCTCAGGCAGGACAGTTAATGGTGATGTCTGCTTAATGAGAACCCAAATCAGAGTGAAATATGCTTGAAATTCTGATTAAGCTGTAATTGTGCTTATACTTTGGCATCAAAATCATCTACATTAATTTCATGTTTAACTGTGGTTAGGTGGAAGGGGAGCCTGTCATCTTATAGTCAACGTTTTTCTGATTTGTGTAAACCTAGTTAAAATAATCTGGAGCCCTCTAAAAAGAAGGAACAAGAAGCAGGTCTTCAGTGATCTATTTTCATATTCAACAACAAAACAACAACAAATGTGTGCCTTCCTGACATTTGTTTCCTCCCTTCCTCTGTTCATCCCTATTTCTTGCTGTATTTCATTCACACTGGAAAATTCTATGTTGGCAACTGACCAGAGTGCACTGAGCTTTTGAAAGCACTATGGTAAACATCATATTTTATTCAAGAAGCCATGATACATCTGTGCACTTTCTTGTGCACAGTTATTAATGGTAGCAGGCAAACTTTGTTCAACAGCTACAGCACTTCTGGACCAAATGGAAGAAAACCATTGTCGTTCTCTACTGATGAGAAGCCGCTCAATATTTTAAAAATGGTGACTGCAGGGTTTTTTTAGCTTATTTTTATTTGTCAAAGTGTTTCTAGATTACATGTTGTGTACATACCTAATCTAGCACCAATGAAAGTATCTTACTACACAGTGAAGGCAAAAAAGGAATAGTATTGTTGGATGGAAATAACCTGTTAGCTATTTTTGTATGTACTCCATTATCCAATAGCTATTATAATTGTAAGTGATTATTAAGAAGAGGAAGTATTTTTAAATTTTAAAGGGGTTACTGTAAGAAGGGTAATTCACCAAGTTTTTATTCACCAAAATTTTAATTCCTGAGTACACTAAGGGATGATGTGACAGGCTGTGAGGGGGAAAATGTAGAATAAATATATTTTTAAGAAAGTTTGGAAATGGCATAGCACAAAGGGAGGAAAAGGTCATTCGGAATCAATTATCCAATGTAGTAATGACCACTACTGTATCTTAGAAAATTTTAAAGGTCTTAAAATTTGGCAAATTTATGGAGATTTATCACAGGTTGTTAGCTATGGAAGGTAAATCAGGTGTTGGGAGAGAAACAACTACAAATAGATTTCATTCCTGGCTTGCAGGCCTAATAACAGCATTTGGCTATGCAGTACTGGAAAGAGGACATTTGATTAGATGAATTCATGAAGTGATCCAGCAGGATTCTTCTTTTTGAGTCTGAGAGATGAGAGAACAGGATTTCTCAACAGATGTGCTAGTTGGAAGGTTTTGAGTCAAGTAGAAAAGCTGAAGAACTGAACATTTCTGGGTTTTTTGTTGTTTTTTGCACAATGAAAAAACATATCACTATATCTTGTGATGTACAAATATCAAATTACAGGTTGATTCAATATTTTTTCCTCTTTCCTTTATCACCAATTGTCAACATGAAACATCTGTTGTAGCATTCAGGAAAATGAGAAGGGCAGATCACAGAGATCACTATATTATTATAATGGATGGGAAGAAATCCTTTCATTATTACAGTAAAAGAGTTATAGCCCAAATCTTTTTGCTCTAAACACATCCATGCTAAATTCAATTGAGGGCCTGGATATCTCTAAACGTAAAGGGGTAAAATAAAATCATGAGTAAGCAATGGTCTGATGATGAGCAATGCTGGTAAACAGGAAGTTAGTTTAAGAATACACACACACACACACACACACACACACACACACACACTCTACTCTTACACTCCAAAACAATTGTTTCAAGTGAGTTTTAAATTATTCTACTGCACTTCCAAAACAAGATTAATTCAAACAAAGGGAAATGGGGAATTTTGCTCTGAAAAAAAGATAGTGGCTACTAAGGAATATATTAAGGCTGGTTCCAAATTTGAAAAGCACAATTTTCTAGTCAGCAACGCATATACTGTGGTTTCTCTTCAGACTGCATACATATGTGTTATATTAAATTTTTGCTGAAAATAAGACACAGAAACATAAAGCGCTGCTTGTCACTGGATAGCTTGGACAGCTTTGGGAACATTTGTTATTGCTAACTGAAAGGTCACCATATTCATTTTGCCATCTTTAAGTCTTAAACTAATTGTCACTGACCATATGCTTTGAATTTTGTCTTGGGAAAATAGCAATCTTGCATGCACTAACACTGGGTATCAGAGGGAGGGGGCTTTTGAAGCCTAATGTGGACGTCCTTTGCCACTGAGTTGATTGGTAAGGTTTTTTTTCTTGCCTCTGGCAATTAAGGCAAGCCCTGCCCCCTCTTCCTGTTTTGCCTGCTTTGATCTTTGTCGTTCATGTTCTTCCTCTGATCTCCAACCAAGCAGCAAACATGATCTCTCTTCACATTGCTGGAGACTCAGTTTTTATTTTTGTTCTATTGATTGTAACTACAAATGGTAACTGTACGAAAAGACCTAAGCCACCTTGGGTCCTTTAAGGAGAAAGGCATGGGAACAGGATGACCAGTTGAGGGAGGCTGACAGGGGCAACATGTCCTTGTTGGTCCTCCTCGATATCTCAGCCACCTTTGATACCGTCGACCACGGTATCCCCCTGGGGAGGCTCTCTGAGCTGGGCATTGGTGGCCTGGTGACTGCATGGCTCCGTTCCTTCTTGGAGGACCGTCCCCAGAGAGTACAGCTTGGGGACAGTGTTTCAGCCCTGTGGAGTCTCAATTGTGGGGTTCCTCATCTCCCAAATGCTGTTTAATGTCTATATGAGGCCGCTGGGTGGGGTCATCAGGGAGTATGCTGATGACACCCAGCTCTACATCTTTTCACCTGTTTCAGTGGATGCCATTCAGCGCTGTTTGGAGCCCGTACTGCAATGGATGCAGCTGAATGGGTTGAGGCTGAACCCGGACAAGACAGAGGTCTTGAGGGTGGGTGGCCTCTCCATTGGTGGTCCGGGAAACTCCCTCTCTTTTGGGGGATGACTCTCACTGCACGGAGTAGGGTCTGCAGCTTGGGGAAACATCTGGACTCGGCGCTTACCATGGAAACCAAGGTGGCGTCCGTGGCCCGTTCTGCCTATTTTCATCTGTGGTGGATTGCCCAGCTGCGATCCTACCTCGAGGGGGGGTCCCTCATCACTCTTGTCCACATGCTCGTAATCTCGAGATTAGACCACTGTAATGCGCTCTACGTGGGGCTACCTTTGAGATTGATGCGGAAGCTCCAAATGGTGCAGAATGCAGCAGCCAGACTCCTTAGTGGGGTGAGAAAATACAAGCATATCTCTCCCACTCTGGCTGCCTTGCATTAGCTGCCCATTCATTTCCGCATTGACTTCAAAGTGTTAATGATGCTGTACGTATAAAGCCCTAACGTTTGGGACCTCTATATTTGGCAGATCGCCTTCTCCTACCTAGATCTACCCGAATTACTCGGCATAGCCAGGAGGGACGGTTGAGGGGCCTAACGCTGAGAGAGGTCCAGAAAGAAATAACAAGAAACCGGGCCTTCTCGGCAGTGGCCCCTCGACTATGGAACAGCCTTCCAACAGAGATCCACCTGGCATCCTCGCTGGGTGTTTTTGAGAGCCATTTAAAGACTTGGCTCTTTAGGCATCCCTTCCCTTCTGTCAATTCTTGAATTCCATCTCTTTGTTTTATCATTCCCCATCTTGAACACACCATATTATTGATTTAATTGTTTAATGATTACAATGTTTTTATTACATTTTATGATATTTTATGATATTCGTAAGCCGCCCCGAGCAGACGCTGTCTAGGGTGGTGGGGTAGAAATCTAATAAATAAATAAATAAATAATAAAATATTATACACAAACAACAAACAAATAGACCTTTCTTCCACTTTAAATGCTTCTAGAGTATTTTTATCATACAAAGTGCTAATTTGTGTGGGGAAGATTGGAGGTGGAGGAGCTAATGAGATTAGACTGATCTCTCCACATTTTTCTTTGTGCCATTGTTGTTGTTTTTACCTCAAATGCTGCTAACTGAACAGAATAACCAAAATTCCCCAATATTCCGTTCCTTTCAGACTTCACTGCATGTTTTTCTCTGTCTACCCACACAGATATGCATACCTGCCACTGAAGGATAATATTTCATGCTTATGTTAAAATGGAAATAAAATGGAAAGGTAAGCTTGCCATGAAGATGCTGATCTTAATAGCAAACATATGTCCAGACAGGAACTTAGTGAAGTTTGGAGATAAATTCTGGAAAATATAGGACTAATACAATGAAATTTCTGATCTATTTCAACTTTTATAAGACAGCTACTGTACAAAGATCTGCAAAAATATGTGAAAGAAGAGTATTAACAGCACAAATGGTAAATGCCTGTCAAGGTATAGGGTAAACAAGGAAACATAAATATTTTATACACTTGCACAATGTAACATAGCAGAGCAAATGAGCAACTTACCAAGCGATCCCACTACAACAAGAACGGTTAGGATCCAAACAAGTACTCTTGAAATATATCTGATTATCACCATCATAATCATGGAAAGCACTATACCGAAACAAGAGAAAACAAGCAGGACAATTATTTGAAGCAGCAATAATCAAGACATAGGACTGCACTAATACAACTGAACATTAGTAATATTTTTATGTTCACTATTGCTCCTTTGTAAAAAAAAAATATACAAAGTAAGGCAGCTATTCTATTCAGTTGCTGTTTGATTTGCTGTGTGAACAAAATGATCACATAGGAACATATACAATGATATGTATCTATTTAGTACACAGATGTAAATGCACACAACAAAAGAACAAATGTGACATGACAGAACTGCACATTTATTATCATGAGTTGCAAAAATACTGCACAACTCATGGTTACATGCACATAAGCATGCTCAACAAGCACAATTATGAGGACAAGTACGAAGTTAGTTATTAGGATTATGATAAGAACTAGACAGCTGCCTTTTTCAGGTGAGGTCATTTAACAAGATCTTTTTACTATCAATCTTCTACATGTCTAAATCTTCACTGTTTTGGTGCCTGAACATCTCTGTTTAGCACTCACTTGGTATCCGAATGCCACCATACACAAGATGACTGACATAAAATTATATCAGCTTTAAAAAGCCTGAAAAGCTTCAAATTGTTTTCAAATTACAGTATTAGTTGGAAGGCTACTGTTCTCAGATGAGCCTGGCTAGTCCATTCATGTTAAAATGAAACTGTCTTTAAAGTGTGTGGGTTGGATTGAGATAAAGTCATAATTATTTTTGCAAGTTATACAAAACCAAGTTGGGGCCCAAGCATGACTGCATGTCTCTGCGCACAGAAATGTAAATATATAGTATGGTGAATATCCCAAATGTATCAAGTACAGTATCAGAAAACACAGAGGTACACAGGTGAATGTTGACAGACTTCTAATTGACATTCTGAACATACACACTCAAGTTAATATCAATAAACTGGGATGGGAGAGGGGACAGTGCATGTTCAAAATGTAAATAGATTTAATTTTATCTGGGGTTGTCAACATTTACCAGCTGGACATATACTATGACCATGATCCATAGGTCCCTTCCAGTTCTTTAATTCTAAGATTATATATACACAGGGCAGCTGGGAAGCAGAGGATTTTAAGTAAACATAAAATGTATAAGGAATATAAGTAGTATTATTGACTCAGAAACCATAACACGGTAAAGATTAAAACATCAAACGGCACCTTAATGACCAAGTTGATTACATTTAAAATTCTAGATATTAACATTTACTTCAAAATGAACAGCACTGAACCACTAAGACCTCTCCATCATTTCAACTATTTTATATTAATTAGTCTTAATTTTAGCAATTAAAACAAAAACAATTTTCTATGGATATAAATATATGTTTACGCAGTTTGGGGTTCAAGTTTAGCCCACCAATTATCGTCCTCTACAATATGCATTTCAATTGATAATTACAGTCTGTAGGCTGCTACAGAATCTTCTGATGAAAAATTAAAAGTGAGATTAAATAAATACTGAACTAATTCACACAAAGCATGTCATACAATAATTTCATTCCAAGTTTTTTTAAAATTAAAATCATATAAAATAAACTATTTGTTTTGCTTCCCTTCTATAATATATGAAGTAATATAAGAGATTAGCAGGGAATGTCGGCTTTTATGTATCATTTTGTTCCACCTTGTTTGTTTTACCAATTAAGTCTTCACACAAAATTGAAGTTCTAAATTGGGCTGCAACTGACGATTCATTTAACTGAAGGATCAATAAAAGTTGATAAATCAATAAAAGTCCATTTTAACTAAAACCACTCTGAATTTTTGCCCTTGAATATCTGAGGCAAGAAGTGTAATTCTGATGGATACAAAATACATTCTGAACCCATTCCCACTTTAGGTTTTTCTCCCCACCTTCTTGCAGTTATTAATCCCTATTTTATTGCTGTGTTTTAAATGGTAAATATGATATCTTCCTCCTTCAGCTATGTAATCTCAGCCATGGTGATGCCAGTGAAGATAAACAAGGTGCACTGTTCACATTATGAAGCCCTAATCCAGCTATAATCATACCAGGTGGTATATTCTGATGCACATTCAAGTATGTAGCTTCTTGAAAGCAATGTGGTCCAGACAGACATCCACACCTGCATGCATTCTGATGTGCATCTCAGCCAATACTCCCATTTTACTTCACTGCAGTAATTTAATTTGGATTCTTCCACATTGCTCTGAAGAGTCACTGAAAGGGGGTCATTTGGATGTGAGGGTGAAAATGGCCTTAAAATGTAGCTCCTTCATTTTAGCTCCACTCTTATTTTAAAGTAACAAAGTAAATATGAAATCAGTGAAGTTAAAAACTAAGGTATTGTCACTTATTTATATTTAAGACAAACTGGTTCTAGAATGTTTCTGAAATACAGGGTAAGAGATCAAACATTATAAATAGTCTTTTTCTTTTAACAATGAATGGTAAAAAAAATTAACTGAAATATAGGAGTGGCAGACAATAATGAATGACAATATAGTATCTATATTAAAGATGGGAAAATGTTCAAATTTATTTAAATCTAATTCATCAACCATTTGATTGATTTATATACCACATTCTATGCTCACCCCTTCTGATTTCTCTAAGGAGCTCTGAGTGCTTACATGTGGTTCCCAGGTGGTCACCCATTAAATCAGCATTACAGGGGCAGGTCATTCTGTTTTCATCAGTTAAGAGCAGATGATTAATCAGCTAAAAGTTTTTAGATTGGTTTACCAGTACTACCTTTAATCCAAGTTTCTGAAAATATTACAATTTGAACATTTAAGTAGCAATTTATACCAAAATTAATTGAGATAGCACATTCAGAAGCCTGGTCATCAGGCTTATGAATTACATGTACTCATGTGCACATGTACAAGGCTGCTAAATTATATATACATGAATTTATATAATTTATATACACAGTGTACATTTTGTTGAGGATTGTTTTAGTCAGATGCAGTGGATTCAGTGGCAGCAACACCAAACTGAGTCAAAATCTTACATTGTTTAAACATGAAGAAGAATCAATGTATATCAATGTTCAAGGAACATTTAATTAAGCAATTGGGTAGTAAATAGAATTTGGAATAATCTCTTGTAATAGTTATTACTGAACATGCTTTCTTTTCACATAGTGGGGTCAGAAGATGTTCACATTCTCCTGGTGCAGTACTACAGAAATAGCTAAGAATGAGAAAAACAATTACCTAGTGATAACAAGCAAAGTCCCAATATAATCTCTCTGCAGGTCATTACTCCACTAATCAGCCTGTGCAAGACACTACTGTCACTGACAAAGGTGATCAGGGCCTCTGCAAACTTGGCATAGCAGGAAATGTTCACAGGAGCACAGCGATGGAAGAATGGAATAGGTGCACTGGTGATACAAGAAAAAAAAATCAGAAAAAAAATTACTCCTATGTAATATAAATGCCACATCAACACACAAATGGAAGGTGAATTGATGCAATACACTTCACCCTCATCAACCCTCTAACTGCAAGATTAATGTAAAAGTGCTGCTATAAATGAGGATGACTGTAATGAATCATGACGCAATTCCTAGATATCCTACAAAGAGGGTGGAGTGCACATTGTGATAATCCCCCCAATCATCTCAAAAGACAAGACAAGACCCATCGCCCCAAATTACTCTGCTAATTCTGTGAATTATCAGTATGTAAAACACAGAGGTTTTAAGGCAATTGCAGAAAAAAATAAGGCTGCAAAAAGTCTCTAGCAGAGAGATTCCATAGCTCACAGACTGCTGAGTGGCTGTTCACCTTAAAGACCACAGCATAGCATAAGGGAACTTGGTTTGTTTTGTACACAAACTGCATATAGGATGCAAACTGACTTTTTTCATGCAGCACAATGGAGTTGGAGAGCTCCCTTCCAAGTACAGTCTCCAAGCAAACACAAATGTCTTGTACACAGTATCCCAATATTCATGAACAGATTAGAGAGAATACAGAGACAAGGTTAGAAGGCACTTATAGAAGATCCTGGTATGTGTATAATAATGTGTGTGATCTTTAGACTTGAACAACAGAATTCAAGTCTTATTCACTAAGAGAACTGTGGCAAAAAAACCCAACAAGCACTATGCCAACAATGTCTGTAGTCTACTGATAACTTCTCCCAACAGTCATGAAAAATGCACTTTGCAATTGTGTTGGGATCTCAGTTCATTCATTTCCCCTTACTACAGACACCTGACTTTCCTAAAGACTGTTAGGGATACCAGGCCCAAACCATCACCTGATTACATAGCAATTGTCCTGCTCTCTTCTCTGTGATTTCCTACGTTAATTATTTTCCCTCATTCTTGCTTAAGACAGCTGCATTGCTGTTGCCAAAATTTATAGCAAACTGTCGAGTCTGACTATTTTTAATTCTCTCATGCACATAGAAAACCTTTTGCATTTTTATTCATAAGACACTCCATTTTTTTAAATTGGAGTCAATGAATATACTCATTTTTTAATACTCAAATTAGGATTTTATTTAACCTTTTAGTTCTTTGTTTTTTGAATCAATTCCTGCTGTCCTATTCAGTAGGTTCAACAAAGTCAGGAAAAATAAGGTATATAATGCTTTTTGGATCCTCAACTGGAATTCTGTCAAAAACACTTGACCTTCATTTCAAGCAAGCAGAGCAGAATACTATGGTCCCTTGAACCTTCCTTCTCAACACATCAATTGTTAATTGTTTTCAAAGAAACATACTAAAACAGTCATTGTCTAATTATTAGCACCAAACTGAGAGGGAATTACCACCTAAGCCTACATTTCTATGCAAATGACAGTTCTGAACAATAGTGTTCTGTGAGCTATAATGACCAAATGCAGTGCGTAGGCAGGATCATGCAAACAGATTAACAGTGAAATGTAACTGGCTCTTACACCTTCAGATTGCAGGTGGGGTCACAAGGTAAAGTGCACAATTCAAAGCTTCTTCATATAATAAGTAACACTCTGTATGAAGAAAACTAGATGCTAACAAGAGAGTCTAGCTTTCTACCAATATGGGAAGCATTCAACAATGCAATCCTGCACTTCTACCCAAAAGTACTGATATTTGTAATCATCTAGCTCATAATTCAAATGTCTCTAGTTTTTAGTGAATCAACTGAAATATTATCCTCTGATTCACAATGCTACCTAAGCATAAAGGACTTCACAAGCCATTGAAGAGCCCAGTAAGAATGCAATATACCACAGAATTACTACAAGTCCCATGTTCCTTGCACCCAAGATAGACATGGGCAAGAATAATGTCAGATAACAAGAGATGTGAGTTGCACAGTTTGCAAGACATTTCCATCAAGTTTTTATGCAATTGCTGCCAGAGGAATGAAGGCAGAATCATAGAAGAATGATATTGGCAGGGGCCTATAAGGCCATCAAGTCCAACCCTGCACAACACAGGAATCCAAGGTAAGGCATGCCAGAGAAATTGCCCAGTTACTACAACTGTCATGTGAATTTTGGAAGAAGGGAAGAATGTGACATAACAGGGTTCAATAGGTTGTAAATGGGGGACAGGTAAGGATTACAAGAAATTTGGGGTACGTCTTTTTAGGTCCTATCATATTCTTAACTGGGTCATCATGAGCCCAGCTGTTTTTCTAAATAGCTTAATAGGTTCAAGGGAAATAACTATTTTCCAGTATGAGAAGCAGCTCATATTTTCAAAGACCACCCTGAACCTAGCCGAGGAGTTTGGGCATCAACAGTACAAAAAAAGAATTGTCCAGGAGCAGTTTTATCTTATCTGCTGAAACTATGCTTACCCACTGCATTTACAAATACAGTGGTGCCTCGCTTAACGGGTGCCCCGTTTAACGAGGAATCCATATAGCAATGAAGATTTTGCCATCGCTTTTTGCATCTCATTGCGACGTTCCCTATAGGGAAAAATCGCTTTGCGATGATGGCTTCCCCCCCCCATCGCAAATGCCCCATTTTTGCACGGCTTGTGATGAGGGAGGGGGAAGGATCGTCCCAGAAAAGAGCTGGGCACCAGCTTCCCTGCTCCAGCCCCTCCCCCTCCCCGCCTTACAGCTGATCCGCGGTGCCTCTTTGAAGCTTCCGCAGCAGCTAAATAGGCAGGGAAAATGCCCTGGGGAAGCCTCTGAAAGCCCCGCTTTGCCGGGGTGGGGGGGTGGCAGGGACAGGCCCGCCACCCTCCCGCGCGCCCCCAGAAGCCTTCTGGGGCTTTTTTCAGCAGTGAAAATGCACCTCTGAAAGCCCCGCTTTGCCGCGGGGGGCGCGCGGGAGGGTGGCGGGCCTGTCCCTGCCACACCCCCACCCAGGCAAAGTGGGGCTTTCAGAGGCTTCCCCAGGGCATTTTCCCTGCCTATTTAGCTGCTGCGGAAGCTTCAAAGAGGCACCGCAGATCAGCTGTAAGGCGGGGAGGGGCTGGAGCAGGGAAGCTGGCAAAATGGGCGCCCCCTGTGTTTTGGCCCGGATTCCTCGCTTACTGGGCAGCAAAAATGGCGGCCAGATGGAGGATTCCCTGCATAGTGGTGAGTTTTTCCCCAATAGGAATGCATTAAACGGAGTTTAATGCGTTTCTATGGTTTTTTTGTGTCGGAAAACGATGTTTCCGGATAGCGACGTTAATCCTGGAACGGATTAACGTCGCTATGCAAGGCACCACTGTACAGTCTTTATATTCTAGTGCAGAACTATACAGTTTCAGAGAATGAAAAGTCCTTTCACTTGTTCTGCCAAAAGACAGAGAACAATCTTTATAAATTAATCTTTATAAATTAATACCAACTTAAAAATAGAAGCATTAATAGTAATAATGTCTTGGAGATCAACAGATTAAAAAGATAAGGTCTTGTCTTGATAATCATGGCAAGGGACCTATCCTCCAAAGACACAACCCCAGAGGAAGGACATGGCAAAGGCATACATGCAGGAGCCCTAAAAGCCCAAAGAGACCAATTCTATGTCTTACTGGGCTGAGAAAGTTTGGGGAGGTCTGGCCAAGGAGGCAATGAGACTGCTATTTTGCCCAACTAGTGTGCCCAGTGAGAAAGTGTTATCTCAGGCAGGATATATTGTCAGCCCATACCGCTCATGCTTGGAACCTGGATCTGTAGAAAAACTTATTTTCCTTAAGGTCAACCTACCATTGCTGGGCTTCCCCGAACTCCCCTTTAAACAAAACACAATGATACCCTGTGCTCACAGTACTAGGCACACCATGCTTCATTCTGCTACCTACCCCTCCTTCTGCCTCTTTCATTCTTCCAACTGCTACTCCTGATTTGTGTTCATTCACCTAACTGTGTGGGCCAAGTTCTCACCCACCACAGATTATGTGCTGCTGCAATCTGCTTGTCAGTGTTGGCATTTCTTGCTGGCATTCCCACTGTCCAGGGTTCAATCAATATACTCATAATAGCCATTTCTTGATACCCAGGCACTGCTGGCTGTTCGTGTGCACTATTTTTGTTTCTGTAGCTTTCCAAAAGTTGCTGGACCACCATTCCCACCATCACAACCAATGGTAACGGACACTGGGAAATACAGTCCAGCAACAATTAGATTGCCCAAGATACGTACACAAAGCCTGGCAAAAAGTGTATTTTGTTTTCTCTATTTTCTCTTCAATCCCCCTTCAACATAGTTAGCTATTATTGCACTGAACTCCCTTTTGCTGAGGAGTGATTATCTAGCATATCTGAAATTACCTGGTTTTATGTGTAGGAGACAAAACTTAACTTTGCTATAATAAATAAAAAATGAGGCCAGTGATTACTATATGATGTCTTAGAATAAATGGGACTCTTGAGAATCCAGTGCACGACACCAATTTCTATTTCAGCAATTCTGACTCAGATAGGCCTAAAATATAGTAGCTCTTCTACAGTAAGAAGCAGGATAATAAATTCATTCAAAAGGACTCTGTTCTTTTATTAATGGCCATTGATTATATCCAGGGATATTACACATCTTAATGAAACTGCAACTTCTTCCACACATAATCCCTCATTTAAGAACAATCATATCTCAGGGTAGGAGTGGACGGGCATCATAAACAAGATTTAGAAAAGGCAGAAACTCCATATATCGTTGGTATCATAAAAGAAGCATTTAAGAATCTTATTTCCTGGCCCTGTAAAACAGAAAGCAATTCAAGGAACAAATAAAATTCACACACACCCCACACACAAATCTCTCAGGATTATTTCATTTTCCATGAAGACATCAAAAAGGATAATGCAAAAAGGGTAATTCAGACTGAACCATGCAGAGTCCCTGGTAAGAAATATTTGAGCACAAGGAAAAGTCTGCAGATGTGCAACACTCAGGAAAATTGCTGAGAATCCTTGACACATGTGTTTATCTGTCCGCTTA